GGCTGAACTAATACTTGTTTTCAGCTCAAAGTCATGACCGCGAAAGTTACGCCCCCCGTTCCCAAACATTGCTCTTATCCTCGCAAGCTCCTCAATCAGAAGTGGCATCTGACTTTTGGACAGATATTCACCCATCCTCCCAAAATAACGACATTCCTGGTTGCTCGTTTACTGGGTGGAGGGGCGAGGGGGCGCTACATGCTACGTTAACTGTCCCCTGTAACATGTCGATGGGCAGCAGCTATGAGTTGCGTGGTGTGGGGATCCCCCTCCTCTAACTAACCCCCACCTCTGCGGTGGAAAACAAGCTCGTCTTCTAGCGAGTAGCGGTGTCACCACAAAGGAGGACGAGGATCAGCCAAGCATGCAACACGCCACGCAACAACAGAGAAAAAAAGCTAATGCTAATCGCAAAAGTAATGTGAAACGCAGAGTCACAAAAGACCAAACCGGTGTTGGGGAAGTTCATTTTCGACATGAACGAGTTCAAAGTTCAGTTCACAAACGTTAGAATAAATTAGTTTGGTTCATTTTTTTTTTTTTTTTTTTTAAACTACGTTCACCCGTAGTATTTATTTATTTTGTTGCTGCAAGCCATCACCATTGCTGACATCCACATTCGGGCCACACTAGAAGACAGCTGCAACTTTCACCCTCCAATCTCGTGTTGGTTGAAGGCACTATTTTTAAATGAGGAATTTCAACAAAAACAGGACAGTGGTCTTTAATGTACAATCCAAACAAGGAACCAGGCTGAGGTAGGAAATTGGCGGTCACGCAACGCGCTCTGCTGGAAGTCAAACAAAGCCTGGCAAAGTCTCGAACAAAAATGAACTATTGTTCAAAAACTGTTCAAGGATCACAAAAATAAAGATGAATGAGGCCACGAGTTTTTGTCGCTTGAACTCATTCAAGTCCTACACTGGACCACAATAAGTGCTTAGGTGAAATAATTATCTGGAAATAGTTATTTGAGGAAATTTGGTCAAACTCAATTCGAGGAGGGTCGAGCATTTCTGGAAATAAGCTTTTTGAGCAAATCCGGCATGCGTCGTCGGTCTTGCTGACCTCGTAGGTGTGGTCCAGGCGGTAGACGGGCACAGAGTTGATGGCGCTGACCACCTCCAGCACGCCGTTGAAGTTGTTGAGCTCCTGAAAGACCTGCAGAATCTCGATGACGCGCGTCCACACCGCCACGCGCTCCTCCAGGTTCATGGTCTCCACGATGCACCTGCCACCCAATTTCCGACACTTAATTCGGGCGGCGCCGCAAATAAGCACTCGTCGGTGCGACGCTCACTTCTCAAACCACAGCGTGAGGTTGGTGGTGTGTCGGATCATCCGGAGCAAGTTGGGCGAGTTCTTCTCTTTGTCCTCTTTGGTCCACACGCTTCCCACCAGCTCGGACGGCCGCACGGCTCTGCGGATGGCAGGCCGCCGTCA